ATGAAGAATGCATTAATACCTTTCCAAACCCATGAGGAACAGCCACTGTACCTTCAAGCTTCTGCAAAAGAAAGAACTATGAGCTAGCACTAGCAAACGAACGAGATTGCTTTAGACTAGGGTCAAATTAGCTACACTAGAAGAGGTCAATCAAAACGGAAGAATTGGTAATGAAACGTGATTGTAATCTCACTCTGCTTATACCACCTGTGCAGGAGAATTTATATTTCTTGAGGCTTGCACGGGCAATATTCCAGCAAAGAAAAGGAAAATTCACTCTTAATTAGGTGGCACTAGGAGCATGATTCTACCAATAAAATTTGCTCTATACACTCACGAACAACAAAAGGATGTGGAATCAGCAAACCCCTAACCAAACCGTGATAAGGATATAGAATGTTGGAGCTTGGTTTTAAATATAAATGAATTTTCTGTCAATTGCTAAATCTATGAGACTGCATGCAGAGCAAATTCTGGAGAGTGCTCCCAAATGTTCAGGAATTGAGATTTAAGTTTGAAAGGTTTAAGGCCCTCTATGCTCTCATGATTTATGAGCTCTTTCTAAGCGCAATTATTTAATACCCATTCACCATCTGATGAATAAGCTTTAGACATATAAACCAATAACAATAGAGTGATAACAAGAAGTTTTTCTGTTCAAGTATCACGTGACGAGTGACGACAAGCTCGGATGGTAAGCTTAATGTGGGCCAGAAAGAGGACAAAAGCACGCACCAGGTCACTTCGGCGCATATCAGGAGTCAAAACAACATGAGCTTCCAGAGTTTCATCAAACCTCTTCTTGGCATTAGCCTGCATAATCACTAAAAATACAATGAATCATGACTCAGTCTGTAACCTCTGAAGAAAACATGACTAGATAGAAAGACAAAGCACCAAGGAAAAGCACACAAGAAAACCAACTAATGGTAAGCTACAGCTAAGAGTCACTTAGATTATATACTATATATAGAATGACAAAGCACCATGCAAAAAGCAGACAAGCAAACTATCTCAGGCAAGCTATGCTTAAGAGTCACTCAGATTACATAATATGGACTTTGATCCATAATCACTATTTTCAACTTGAATAGATGAATAAAAAAATATAATGAGATTCTGAGGAAAAATAAGAGTTGAATTTTTGAGTCATGCATATGACTACCCCTAATTGATGGAAAAGTTGAACTTGTCTCTATCTTTCACTGTGATATTATCTATAAACACTTGAGACTCCTCAAGGAAGAAGCCTAACAGTTGAAGAGATGAAGTGACAACCTTGGGAACCAAGAGACAACACCACGTGGATTTTTTCCACTAGCCTAAGGCCCTAAGTGTTGGTGGATAGAGTTACCCGATACTAATGAAAAGTAATAGGTAACGACGGATTAGCAGGTTCCGACACCACCACTATCCTAAAAGAAAGCAAAGACAAAAAGAAACAAAAAATTATCTAGAAATACGACCCTAGAGAGTGGCCTAGTAATTAATGGAAGACAACTGTCTGAATCTAGCATTGTCAAAAAAACAAGATGATTCCTTTCTATCTGCTGAAATGTTGATGAGGTACCTTGATGAATGGAGTTATATAGTACTTGTATTAGTGAAAGGATGCAGCTACATGGTGGAACAGTTGAGGTGCACGCAAACAGGCTCCGACATGATTATTATCGAAAAAGATTATCTAGAAATACCTTGACCATTAACTTATCTAGAGATACATGGAAGTTATCCAAAATATCCTCTCTCTTTTTTGAGAAAGGTATCCAAAGTATCCTTAGATGCACTTTACTTCAGCATGTGACAGCAGCTCCTTATGGAAGGAGGTTATGCAAGTATTTCTCATTATTAACAAATAGTCTTTAACCTAGAGAATATATTGGACCATTCCTATAGTTTTTTAATGATATCCAATTGAGGATGTGGGACATACCAACAAGGTGCTCCAAATAATTTAACAAAGCAATAATATTTTTTATAAAGTTAATTCTTCACCAATATGTTGAAGAAAACCACATTTACAGACTCTAGACAAAAAGACAGAGATTTTTACATCAAAACATGATAAACTATGGCGAGCACCCAATCATCCATGTTCACTAGGATACCATATCGACTCCAAATTAGTAATGTAAGCAAATCGTGAGTATCACAACAAGGTTATCTAAGTATGATATTTTTTTACCTTGAAGGATACACTGTAACTTATGAGAAGGTTATCCACATGAAACCTAAGTAAACTGCTAGAAGTGTATTTTCTTCAGTTCTTACTTTTATTCTTTTCCTCAACTCCCTATTTTAGGGCTACCTTGAAATTTCACTGTCCACTTGAAACAAAGTTATCAGACATGCAAGTATGACGATGAAATAATAATATTCCAGATATTCTTTACTACATTTAGAAATCCAGCAGAAACACATCCTGTGATTGTTTTCTTATATTATTACTATTATTTAACTTTATAACAAGTCAAAATTTCGTACAAGAAACAAAAAATGCTAAAAAGAATTCATATAAATGACCTCAACTAATTTGGGATCTCTACACACAGTTGATTGAAACAAAAAAAATCTGACCTTTACAAGCCAAATGGCCTCTTTAATGGGAATCCTTTAATTGTTTTCTCCTCTATTTTTCATTTAAACTAATAATGGGCATCCTGTTATTGTTTTATTCTTCTTCTTTTCAATATATTATCCAATTACTACTGCCTTTTAACTTTACAAGGAGTCAAAATTTTGTACAAGAAACAACAAATGCTAAAAAGAATTCATATCACCAACAACAACAATATACCGGTGTAATCTCACAAAGTGAGGCCCGTAGAAGGTAGAGATACTCAAACCTTACTACTACTACCTCACAGAAGTAACTCTTACCTCAGAGAGGTAGGTCGAGAGGTTGTTTCAGATAGACACTCAGCTCAAGAAAAACAGTCCAAAGCAGTCCAGCAAAAGAAGTATCAGAAGTACAAAAAGCAGCAGCTAATAACAGAACAGAAACTCCAACAAAACAATACACAGTTGATTGAAACAAAAAAATCTGACCTTTACAAGCCGAATGGCCTCTTTAAGATCATAAACAGCTTTTTTCTTCTTTTCATCACTCTTCACATTAATCAATGTTGGAAACGAAACCATTTCCTCTTCAACATTCATAACTCTCCTCATTGCCGCCCGTTTTTGCGCCTCGATTCTTCTCCTCTCTCTCTCCATCTCCTCATCACCCATACCTTCCACTTTCACTTTCTCCTCTTCCGGCAAATCCTCCGGTAACGGCGCCACCCTTGTCGGATAAGAAATCGGAGCTATTTTCGGTGCATCCTTCAAGTACCGCAGATCCTCCCGGGTCCACAACCCACCATCCGCTTTAACCCCATCTAGGTTATTTGATTCGAGTCGGGTACTACTCTCCGGCGGGTTCTTAGGGGTGTAGGAGACGGGTTGAATTGGACTTGGGTTATTCGGATTCGGGTTTTCTGATGATGAGGATGAGGAGAGTAATCTGTGAAAATGAGAACGAATAAGAGGAGAAAAGTGAGATGGGGTTCTGTATGAGCAGTGACGACGAGCTTGGTAGAGTAGTTCAAAGGCTGCCATTGGAGCTCTTACAATGGTGAAAGGTGACTGATAGTAGTTTTGTTTGCAAGATGTAAAGAGGGTTTAGGGAAGAGAGAAGAGACATGAGGGCTTTAGCATTTTTTTTTTTCCACTTATATGTCATTTAAATTTTTTTAAGTTTGGATATGAAAATTATCAAAATTAAATAAAATTAATTCTTATACAATCTTATTGAACAATAAATTATATTTTATTAACCAAAATATTAGAATATTCTAAGATATCTTATTGAATATTGATAAATAGTATATTTTTATGTTTCTCTTGTAAATAAATATTTGCGATTACAAGATTTTAAAGATATATGGTGTTTATATAAAATTACTAGTCAATAATAATAGTAACTAGTTATTCTTCTATATAATTTTTTCACATGGTACGAAAAATTTCTTCACGCTAGCAATGAGTCTTTTTTTGCAAAATTTAAACTGATAATTTTTTTTTACAAAATATAAATTTTAAATTTACGAGTCAAGTTGTATATTTTAAGAAAAATAAAATCATGATTTGAGTTCATAAATTCTGATTTTTGTTTAGAGAATTTGGGATTTGAAATAATGATCTCTCATCGCGTGTCCAAATGCTTATTTGAAATCATAATTTCATATCATATGTTTAAAGCCTAAGCTTACAGTATATTTGTCGTTACACACCTTCGTATATTCTCTCTATAATTTATTTTTGTTTTGTAGTTTATATGAATTTTTTCAATTGTCGTAAGTTTATAATTTCTTTTGGTTCAATATATTAATTTAGGACTTTGTTAGAAAACTACTAAAATACTAACCAAAATGTTTTTCTCTATAAAATCAATTTATAGATACGTATATATAGTGAAATAGATTGCAAATACTTCTTATATAGAAGAGGATCACATTGGAGTTGAGTTCGATTTTACAGTATGATTTTTGACCTGCTCTAATTTGGAACATTATTATCCACAACCCTATCCATAATTAACTACATCTTCCGATTTAATTTATGTGAACTTATTTAACCGGATATGAAGTTCAAAATTATCTTTTTGGGGGAGGGGGAGGACAGAGGGGGTTTACAATGGGATTCAAACCCACACCACTAGATGAAGGTGCGAACAGCTCACCAATTATGGTGTTTCTGATATACCCTCAAGCTCAAGAAAACTCACGTTTCTATCCTTCAAATGATACACATTGCACAAACTGTACAAAAAAGGTTTCCATTTTTTATTTTACTTTTCATTTGGTATCCGCATTGAAGTCCAACCCGTCCAGATTCGCACCGCATAGAATCTATTTCTACCAAGGATTTTTTTCACATCAACACTCGAAACCAAAATCTCTGATTAAGAGAGGAACAACCCCATCCGCTCCACATACTTAGAATGTGACAAAGAGATCATTACTTCTTATCATTGCTTGCTGGTATTAGAAATGGGTAAATGATCCCAATAAAAACAGGACTATTTCTATATTTTGAGTACAGGCAAAGCATACATGTTTTCTAAACTAGAAAATCATATGAAAGTAAAAACTTCAGCCGCACATCAATTAACGCCTCTACAATGTATTCCACTATACAAAGGAAAACTGAATTCACTTAGCATAGTGAGTATTCACAGTCAAGAAGTCGAGAGAAAATTTCCTCACAACTAGGTCTTTCGTTTGGCTCTGCCCAGCAATCTGCAAAAATAAGTTTATGGCTAAACTCATCACAAAAAGAAATAGTGTAAAAAATATTTATGCAATCACATCACTTAGGTATACGTAAGCCGTATAAGTATTGGGGAGAGATGATTAGACCAAACATGACACACCTACAACTTACCAAGAACATCATACTAGATAGAAGGAATGGGGGTCGAGAATTAGGGTACAAGGTTAGTAGGTAGTCGAACTTTGTCTAATTTTTCTAATTAGTCTTATTATTATTACTCTCCTAATTTCTTTGGAGATTCTCATAGAAGCATGTGCTAAAATCCACTTAGCTACTTGCTACTCACTCAACTTAAAATAAAAAATGAAATGGAATTCCCAGAAACGGTGCGTGTCAAATCCTCCAAAAGTAGTGTATTTTTGGAGGATCAGAAACAGGTGCGGTAACATCTTTGGAGAGTCCAAGCAACACAGATAATAAGTAATCTCTATGATAAACATTAATTGATAACCTGGTAAAAGTGGTAACTAACAGGTTATCAGCTAAAATATATTGATAGTGTAAAAAATCTATAGGGTGAATGTAACTTATATCCAACTGCGATTACCTACTATTAGTCTGCCGAGGGGTCCTTCAGGTATCTCTAACCTTGATCCTTCATTGGCAACAGCATAAACGACCTAAAAATAAGCACAATGCATTACTAGATGCAGCAACGTAGAAATATACCAATGTCAATTTTCTATAGCTAATTAACCTGTATCAAGTTACAAGGTCAAATTAACATACCCGATTGGGTGGTATACCCTCCCATGGTCTGTTTAGGGTACAAAGCTCCCACATTATCACACCAAAGCTAAAAATGTCACATTTTTCTGTGAAAGGCTCATTACGAATGAGTTCTGGAGCCATCCATTCAGGAGTACCAGCAGACGTTGAGTCTCTCATAGATGCATCTGTCATTATTCTTGAGAGGCCAAAATCACAAATTTTGACAGTCCAGCGCTTATTCACAAGACAGTTTGCACTTTTTAAATCACGATGGACAATCTTCATTCGATGTAAGCACATGAGCCCTCTTTAGATCCAACAGAAACATGAATCAGTTAATATTATCATAAATCCTGTCAGGGTATAAGTAACATGTCAGGTGTATTAGTTTCAGAACATTTGGTAAACCAACCTGCATATATCCCGAAGCATATTGAGCTTCTTCTGCCAGCTAAGCCTGTTCTTTTGACCACTTACATGGATCAAATGATATAGAGATCCCATCTCCATGTATTCAGTAACCATTGATAAATGTGGGGGGTTTGCACAGGCACCCAGGAACAATATAACTGTGAGGAATAGCATTAGTTAAATCACACTGGCCTAAATCCTAATTAGAAATATCATACTTCTAAGCAATACTGGGAGTAAAACTAAAAACCAATACTTGAAACAAACAAGAAGAGAGATGTACCATTTGGATGTCGAAGTCGGCTGGGAAAAGTGACAAGAAAAGAATACAACAAGTTAGAACTATATAAAGCTCAAAGTAACAAAACCCATAAAGCAGATACAACACCTAAGGATAGAGATCTCATTGCAGAAGTCCTCCATATTTTCAGCAGTAAGATCTTGCTCCAGAAAAACTTTAATAGCAACCTCAGTTCCATTCCACTTGCCACGAAAAACTTCTCCAAAGAACCCTAGAAATATAACCGGAGTGTTTGAGAACTCAAATTTTAATATAGCATGGGGTGGTGGAACCAGATCTTTCATTAGAAAAATAGAAGTCAGCGTCATATTCTAAAACTCACATTGATTCTACAGGTCACTGTACAATCATTTCTTTGATACAGATGAAGTGAGTTAACAAAATGTAAAAAAAAATACATATCTGGTCTTTGATCATTGAAGAGACAAGTGACTTTATTTCCTCAACAGGTTATGTACAAAAATTTCCTATATGTCCAATACAAATCCTTCTGGCATCTATCTGTATCCATATCTAGTGTATCTTTCCACTTCAGTGACATGACGCAATTTGCTTCTTATTTGGGAAGGGTGTTAAACACTGTAAGGACCTCTTTCTAGTACAAGAGGACTGTATAGGACACGTCATCTAGTGAACATTCAATCTGCAAGATCCACATCCAAGTTTCATAGATTTTAGTTTGCATCCTTGTCCCAAGATCATCAGATCAGTATAAGCTCATAGCAGAGGCTCATGTATGGAAGAACAAAAAATATTATTAGAGATGTAAGATTTAGATAGGAATCACGAGATTCTGTTTGTTATAAATCTATATTGAAGTCGAAACGACTGAATACTTTTAAAAAGATTTTAACGGAAAATGGGAAATTAGAGCTGATAGTCACAAGGGACAGAAATTAAAGAAAACAAATAACCACATCTCCATTTCTGGTGCCATTTTTAGTATGTCAGAACCATCAGAAGAACCTATTTCACCCCAATGTCCACACACTAGTGTTCTTTTCTGCCATAGAAAGCCACAAAATGTTGTCCTTTTGTACATGAGATTCGGGAGGAAAACAATTAGCAGAACATCTCAGGGTCAATACTAAACTCATCTTTCACATAGAGGTGCAAAAGCATATTGGACTATTGGAGAATCTCTGATCAGTGTAGCAAAACCCAACAGGACACATCGGCAGATCAGTAGATATCATCATTGTGTTCCTAATCTTCAATATGGTCCACTTTCTTGTCTTCAACTCTTCAAAGATGTTCTAAACTTAATATAGACTTAGGCTAAATGGTAATTTAGATGTAATTTCCTTCCCTCCCTCCCTCACACAACACATATGAACCCACATTTGCCTAGTTTTACTTGGATACGGTCCCCAGTTAGACATCCCTCTCTGTAGAATCCTCCACGGTCTTAAGTGAAGCAGCTAAATCCAAGTTTAGTTGATATCATAATTTTGATGACAACTTAATATCATAATTAAAGAACAATAATCAAGATTTCATGAACTATTATGATGAAAAGGATAAACCTGGCTGCCTGGGTTGCTCCTACAATAAAGTTGGCAGAGCATGATCCACCAGCAATAACATTCTAGTTTACAAAGCATGAGACCAAGGAGCAAAGGGAGCAGACTCACCTAGCTCATTGCAGCCCTATAAGTGGCACTAAAGAATATCTAATCGATGCACTTAACAAAGAAAGAAAGAAAAGAAGCTGAAATACATCAGCATTACTACAAAAATGTTTAAGAACAATGCTTACCTATCCCAACTCGAGTGCCAACAGTCAACTCTGAGAAGTCTATATTCCATTCTTCAAAAGGTAGAAGAGGCTTATTCAGATACATATGTGATTCTAGAATCCTGTTCCAGGTTGAGACCAATTCATCATTCATCCTGTCTGGCCCACTTTTTTCTGGAACCTGTCTCCTCAACTCGTGGGGAGATGAGGGTAATGACATTGATCTCTGTGAACTTATCTGCTCGCTTGAAAAAGCAAAACAGTTAGAATGCAGATCCGACATTTCATCATGGTCATCATGGTGAAACCAGGGACCTAAAAGGGACTCTAGTAAGTAATGACTGAAACAAGTACAGATTCAAACAAGATATTAACTTTCACAAATTGATGAGTTTTGGGTTCTAAACTTATTTTGGATGGGAATATGACAACCTCTTGATTTAAACCTGAATTGGAAAACAAAAAGATAATGCCTTTTCATTTATTTTCCACAATTAGAGTCCCCACAAATCAGAGTTAAGAAGAAATTTCAACTAAATCCAAAATTCAATAGTGTTACATGGGGAAAACATCAGTGTTCTTAACACATAGAAACTATTTTAACACAGCCTAAATATTTTTATTTTTTTTGATGACCGTGGTGTCCGGGGAGCTTTATCGCACCTCGCCTAATTCCACAGATACCTGCCACCTCCCACCAGTAACAGGTAACAGTTTAAATATTCATCCTCTTACAACGCATTTGCAACAGTTCTCTTCCTTCAAGTTCACCAGACCACCACCAACCGCTGACATCCTCACAGAAAAGGCAGAAAGAAAATAGAATATTTGATTACTCAAGTATGAGTATCATGTGTGTAATTATATACAACTAGATTAAAAGTGTTGTAACTTGTTCCCTCCAACATTTGATAAAATCTATCGTTTTGCTTTACAAATAAAAGTAACTTTATTTCAGAGATGGCACCTAGCAGGTAAAATTATACATGGCAAATATTTAGAACTTCCCTATTTCAAACATCTCAGGTCTGAGGAACTCATATACATCTGTTATCTTACACCAGAAAGCCGAAATACAAGGATCTGTATCGAATTTTATGTACAGGGCTTAGGTAAGCCTTCAAACTATCTTCTGTTCCACTCCAGCCAAATTGTCCAAAATATGCATGCCGGGATGGACCGATGGTGCATGTTTCTTACTCTATACAACTTAAAATGATCAACTTCATCAACATCAAAGCTGATATATGAACTTAGAAGTTAGAACTAACAAAGTAGAACAATTATTAATGTTTGAGATCCAAGTTATTATTAGATTTAAGAAAAGATAGTCTCCTATCTATGGTCACACTAGGGGTTTGTATGCAGGAAACTTTCAATTTCCTCCACGTTAGGTTGGTCAAAATGTTTTGGAAAACAACTTTCTTCCTTGTGGAATTGGAGAAAACTGTATTAAGACCACAAGATTCAAAAGTCTTATATACCTTCTTAAACTCCATATCAAGTCAAACCAAATAAACAAATTGAAACGGAGGGAGTATTCCTTTTCATTCTAAAAAGGGGGAAACTGAAAAACATAATTTTACCGACCACTGGTATCACGCATAAAACCTAACTGTTACCAGAGCAAAAGATATCAAAACTAATACAGGTCCTCAAACCAGAGAGAAAAGGTAACATACATCTTTTTTCAGATCTGAAGCACCATCTCTGTTGGTTGAGGCATGATGATATGAACTACTTTCTTCTTGCTCTTTCAAGAGTCGGTTCTGCTTGAATGCTTCATTCATAGCTATAACAGCCCTGGTATGATTATGACCCAAAGATGAAATAAGTACACGAAAGTGGCACATAAAAAGTCTTTTAACAATCTTCAGGTCAACACCATATTATGATAAAGAACTTCCAGGAACCCTTTCTAGGTAAGATATTCTTTTTTTAGCTGTAAGTGGCCCTAAGTGATGTTTGGATAGTTCTATATAAATGTATATTGTTATTCATAAGTTTGTTTTATTTTTACCATACCACCCATATTATTACTTTCACCACCATTATCTAAACGTAATAACATTTTCAATAAAATAATATGTATTAGACAAATGAGTTGGTAACTAGCAACATTTAAAAAAAGAAGAGTATTGAAAAAATAACTAAGCTCAACAAGAAAAATAAAGTTAGAGAAAACTTTAGGAAACTTTAAGCAAAATATGGAAGATAAGTACTAATAGAATAAGATAAAGAATTATTGCAAAAAATTACAGTGAAATGGACGGGGAGGAACGAAAAATTAAAATTTCTTTAAATTTCAGAAATAAGGATCAAAGTGGAATCAATGACATCTTGGTTTTTTTGGAAAAAGAAAAACACTTTTTCCTTGAAAGTTATCAAACAAAACGCAGCTGAGAAACTTCTTGAAAAAAATTTTGAAACTAAGAAACTTCTTGAAATCTGTCAGGAAAATAGATATAATGACACAATGGGAATCAAGCAAGTTCAACTTTGTACAAAATTAATACAGGAAAATATGAGCCAATGTATAGAAGTGCTATAGTAAGGCTGTTGATATGATTATTGTAGTAAAAATATTGACCTTACGACATCATCACCAATTTCTGGAGTTTTTCTTCTTCGTATTCTCCGTGTTTCTGATGTCGGTGCACCTTCTGACCTGTGAAACAATAGGAAACTCAGCAAACATTTGCACGAATTTTATTTATATTTGAAAGTTTTGAAAAGTTAATTCAGTTATTAACAGAAAACAGAGTACATCTTAAGAGTATAGAAGACAAGAACCTGCACATATTTTAACTTAGATGCATGCCAACATTTTTGGTATTACCTATCTACATAAAAATATGGAAGGGTAATGCAGTTTCGTTCAGAACACCAAAGATGAACAAACTGTACATATTTTTTCCATTTCAAAGACGGGTTAAATTTTATTCTGAGATGCTCTGCAAAAAGGGGTAAATAAACCGAATTAGTGGAGCATCTCATTGCAAGAATATCACCTACTGTTTCCTATTAAGTGGCTTGATTTAGCTGCAGACTATCTAAGAAATAAACTTTTCCTGTTAAGATATTACATGATTTGCATTAACCGGGGATCTGATTGGAGATATAATTACGAGTTTATATTGCAAGTATACATTTGCTGAAATGTAAAACTGTAATCTCTATAAATTTCCAATCAAGCTTTTAAGTAATCTATACTACAATTTTTTTCATGATATAGGGAGAACCCCTGCTTTCTAAATATTTCTGAGTCTCTAAAAAGCTACAGTGTTGCCATAGGGATCTCTTCACTGCTGGAGTCGGATCTCTCCTTATTAGGACTCTTCAAGTCTCACCTTACACCTCGAAAGATTCACAGACTCCTGGCGATCCTTCCCTGAAAAATCTACTGCCAGAAGACCAGCCATTCACTCCCATATGCTGACCCATCTCGCTACCTGACCCACACATCCCCACATACCACAATTTCCCGTGACCTTTTCCGTCGAATCTTTTATCTACAGGATTGCTAGAGAAAGGACACTCCAGCCCAGAATATAACACTATCCGAATCACTTCCTTTCACCTTCAGAATCCAACTCCTTTACTGTCAACCAGTTGAACCTACTGATCCGGGATCCTTTCCACCCATATCTGGTACAAGTAGCTCGCCTCAAGTCATTAAGCCATCTAGGTTTCAGGTTACTGTTGCAAGTTGTTTTTTTATTTTTTGGTTCTAGTATTTCCTCTTCTCGTCATAGAATCATACAGAAATAGCAAATATGACAGGGAAAGATGATTCTTCAAACATAGGTGATATCAAACCTCTTTCCATCCATTTCAAATTCTTCCACTATTACCTCAGTGAAATTGGAAGGCTGTAGTAAACTACATGTTATGGTCCGCTTCAATTGAACTATGGTTTATTGACCAAGGTCCTGATGACCACGTAGTTAAGAATACTAGTGTGACATCTGTGGGACTCAACCTCGCTTGTTCAAGACTAGACATCAGAAGCAGAATTTTGAGCTATGGCTCTTGCAACCTGTGAACTTATCTGGTTAAACAACTTCTCCAAGAGTGAAGGTGTGTAGAAGTAAAGCAAATAAAAATATGTGACAATCAAGCTCCCCTTGACATTGCCTCAAATCTTGTTTTTCATGAGAAGACAACATATATAGGTGGATTGTCATTTCATTAGACAGAAGATTGAGTCTAGATGCATCGCTACTAGGGGTGTCAAATGGGCGGGTTGGGTTAACTATGGGCTGGTCAGAGTGGGTTGGTACAACAAATGGTCGTGATCCAACCCACCCAAAGGATACTAAGTTCAAGATGGGTTGAGCAATGGGTTATAACCCAACCCGCCCAATTCTACCCAATGTTACAATTACTTTTCCTCCACCTCGTTTTTTGGATTATAGGTTTATAACATAGATGCATCCTTCATTGTGATATAAAAAACCATCAGTCAAGATTTTATTATTAAGTCAGAATAGGAAATACTTTCAGATTTTCTATTTTAGTTATACATATACTCAGTATTTTTTGTGCAGATTATTTGAACTCTAGCCTTTTTAGGTCTTATTATGCATAACATATGGTGATTTATGTGTGCTTCTCTTTGACATAATAAATGAACTTCTCTCATGATTTGTCAAAAATCAAAAACAGCCAAAAAAATCAATTGAATGATACTAATCTAAGTTGCTTGGACTCTTCACTTTCGGTGTCGCACCTATGTCGAATCGATGTGGGTGCGGGATCCGTACCCATTCTGGTCAACTGATTTTGGTTACTTTGATCAAAATCAACAGAGAAATCCCGGACAAATTCAATGATTTCTGTAATCAAAACAAAAGCTAAGGTGAAATTGAAGAAAATGGTTACCTTGTAGATAGAAATTTCTATGTCACTCCTTTTCCTTTATCTCCTCCAAGGATTCTCCTCTTGATCAATATTTTCTCCTCAAGTTGTCCACATAAGATCTCATAATTTAGATTTCATAACTTGATTTTTAGATGTTCAAATTATTTTTAGCCGAATCCCCGCACCCGTATCCATATCTAGATGCATATCCCCGAATCTTAAAATTTGATCATGAAGGATCCGACCTCTAGATCCGCACTTATATGGGACACCTCTAACCGGGCAACTTAGATACTAATATCATTAGCTAGACAAATTTCCTCCATCAAATTGCTATAATTAATAGTATCAGATAAATAAGGAGACTTTGTGAATCATCCAATTGTCAAATGCTTTCTCACTAAGCTTTGGGTCCTCAAACTCTGTGCCAGATATTATTCATTTGCTTTAGAACAATTTCAACCCAATGGTTTGGGTTGTCTACTAACCCGTTGAGTTACATCTCTCTAACCCATCCTAACCCACTCTTTCCAAGGGTCAAAATGGGTTCTACACATTTTGACCCATCTGCTTATTACTCTTTAACCCGTCTAATCTTTACTGGGTTGGGCGGGTTGGGTTCAGAAACCATCTCTAATCTCCACCAGCTTTGTTATCTTAAATGATCAGTTAGAAGATGTTCTAACTAAATCTCTCAAAGGACCTCGGGTCTAGTACATTCGTTACAAGCTCGAGCATTATGATACGTAAGTCCAGCTTGAGGGAGAGTGTATTGTATGGTTTGCATTAATCAGGAATCTAGTTAGGATTTTATTTTGTAATTATACACTTACCAAATTGTATACATTGTAACTGCTATAAATTCCCAGTCAAGCTTTTCAGCCAAGTATTCCCAAATTTAGGCACACTCTACTGCCTCCATGCCGGGATTCTTAATAATAACTGCTCTTTCCATGAGTTGCAGTTGTTCAATACCAATACACTCCATCTGCAACTGAACTCTTGAAAGATCCTTCAATTTTGTGAGGGTCACCACTCATGCACAAAGGAGATCACTAGTTCAAGATGAATATGTTACTTTATCAAATGCAAATCTTTGTTACCTTTGGCTGCTGGACAAGAGCTCCTCTATAAGCTATAAGAATGATGCATCAAAAAGGAGTTTATTAACTATGTAATTATGGTTTCAGCTTGTAACTTTTTGGAGGTAGCCAGCATACCTTTAATGCTGAAGAATACAACTTTAACTTTTATAAAAAAAAAAAAAGGAGTTTATTAACTCACCAGTTCTAGCTTAGATAGTTTGTATAGTTAGCCAGAGATTTTTTGTAAGCTCAAATGCCATATATTGTAATTCTTGCATCTTCTTGATGTTGTTATTAATACCACTTACTTTATCCAAAAAAAAAAAAGAATAATGCATCAAAACACTACATCCATGTAAAGCTTGTGCATAGAGAGGTTGTTTCCGATAGACCCTCGGTTCAAGAAAAACATTTTCCATAACAGGTTTTGAAAATTAGTGTTTGTCCATGAAAATTCCAAATTCAACTTGAAGTTACATTTTTTTTATTTGCAAAACATCTTTTAACTTGTTTTCAAACTCACTTTTCAATTTTGAAGTTGTATTTAAGTACATTCAAGCATGAACGTTATTCCAAGTATTCATTGCAAAAAGTATAACTAAAAACAATTCAACTCCATAAATTCCTTTAAAAAAGTGAAAAATATTTGGAATCTAAGGACAAATGCCTACTAAGATTCAGAACTTTTATGTAAGCATCATTGACCTCTTTTATTACTTTTAGCCTAAGAGTGTAAACTGGGAGCCACTAACCGTGAATGAGAAAAATACCTGATATAGATGAAATCATGGGAAGACCAATAGTAATAATATCATTGATTCACATATGTAAATCATTAGCAGTTATACTATCAGAGGAAACAAAAAACAGGCCTACATGAGATACCTTGAAGTAGAAACATCATCTGAATAACCTCTGAAAGTTCTGTTATCACCACTAAGCATGGACCGTCCATGTGCTCTAAATGAAGGATGCTCAGGACTGAAAGGATATAAAGCAATTGAAAAATGAGAAAAAATAACACAGCTACACATTAAGATATTGAACAGCTCATTTCAAGTAAATGTGGATAAAAGACTCACTTTGATGTTTGCTAAACACAGATTAAACATCTAAGTCCCAATTAATTCATTACATGCATTAAAAGAAATTCTCCAAATAATTGTCAGGAATTGAAAACAAAAACCATGACAAGCACTCAAAAATATATACATACTTATTTCCATCTATGGATCAATAAGTTATATCCAAATCTCACAGGTGAAGATAAAGTAGAAATATGTGAGAAGTTAAAGTAGAAACTAGTCATTCAGGAGGTACCCCGAATGTAAGCTCCACCATGAGCATGTCAAACACAAGTAGCAACTTAATGTATTGTAACTTGTAACCATCATTTGTCCAAACAAAGCCTGGAAATTCCTTTCTCAGAGTCTTCTTTTAAACTAATTCAGGGGGTAAGTTTTTTTAGCTTAGCACTTTCACATAAAGGTACAATTGTATTCTTTCATGTATGCTTGTCCAATTGCAGAATAATTCCAGAGAAACCAGAAAATGCGTCACCAAATAAGATTCTGCTTTTTCAAACTCAGAATAAGAACTTAGCAACAGCACCAAGGATCACAACGTCCTCATCTTGTGCCAAGTGATTTATCGTATGGAGTAAAAGACAATAGTATAATACTGTCTGATATTAAAATGGAACTAAGTCATATAAAGCCGAACAATCATATCTGGAAACTTTTCAAACTCAGAATAAGAACTTAGCAACAGCACCAAGGATCACAACGTCCTCATCTTGTGCCAAGTGATTTATCGTATGGAGTAAAAGACAATAGTATAATACTGTCTGATATTAAAATGGAACTAAGTCATATAAAGCCGAACAATCATATCTGGAAACCCAACATTATGCAATGTGCAATACAGAAAGTACCTTAATCTCAAAACACAGACCTCAAACATTCTGTTTCAAAAGCATGTTGTCCTTTACGCTCAAGCTACCCAACATGATGAATTTGTGTTCATCTTATGCCCTACATGGCCTGCTTGGCAGCATTTTTCTGATTATCCAATCAAGGATATGTTCACCAGAACAAAGTTTGGTAACATTGAGTTCCATTAATGTTGAGAAGCGATGAAACCAGAAAACCTTACAAACTGAATACATATACATGTGTCTGTTCCTTAACCATTTCTATTACTCACACCCAAATTCATGTAACATACAGAGACATGTGCAAGCATGAATAGACCCTAACATCACAGGACTTTGAATAAGTGCATTATTAGAAGTCCAAACGACTGAAAAACTTGTAAACAAAACGAAAAATATGTCAAGGAAAACATCAGAATAGGAGTCTGTGCCATCAAAAAAAAAAACCTTGAACTTGCAGTCCTCGGTTCTGTTATAACTTTGCTGCGACCTCTTCTCCAAACCGTTGTAGCAGTATTAGGCGCACTATGCGAGAAACTGGTACAGAAATGATTTACTAAAAAGCAAGCAAAATAACCTTAGTTTTCAAAAGTAATCTGACAGACGGACATCACAATGTCTTACACTCAAAGATGGGTCTTTTAACCATCTTTCAAAAGCTAAATCATGGCTTTAAGGATGAGCAAAATAATACCCCAATTTTCTGTCAATTGAAGTGTTAGCGCGCAACATCGTATTCCTCAATGAAGGTCCTGCAGCATTTGAAGAAGCTTCAAATCTCCTCTGATACTGGAGGATGTCATCTTTCTCAGAACTGTAGAAATAGAAGATTAGTTAAAACAAATATGTAAGTAGGCAACGAACTGTTTCTCCACCAAAGAAAAAAAAGAAATTTCTAGGGGGAGATATAATATGTCTATGAAGATTCTCATCACACAACAGAAGAAGAGTACAGAAACCAAATGGAAAATACTCATCACACAACAGAAGAAGAGTACAGAAACTAAATCGAAGTTGAATATATTAAAAATAAATAATAATTTTCTTCTAACCTATCAGTATCATTTCTCTCTGAAAACCCATAGAGGGGGCTGTTAGGCTCCAGAGGCGAATCACAGGAATCATTTTCTGCAGAATCACTCTCCCCAGCAGCCATGTGGGTGAGGAAAATCGCCTTGGTTGTTCGTGGAATAAGTTGACCAGGAAAACGCATAAGGTCAACAAGTAGCTCCACAGAATTTAGCACAACAAGTATAGACATGTGCTTATAAGATTCTGCACACTCAGACCCTTCAGCAGGCAAACCCTGATTTGAGAACCATAAATTTATAATAAGTAAAATATAAGTAGGTATGGAAATGAAAGAAATGGTAGCAACAATTCATAGTAGCAAGCAGCAAGATGATTATTAGTCCTAATTTTAGAGATAAACAGAAAAATCCAAGCAAAAATAAGCTTCAAGCTCACCACAACCAGCCGGCATTCAAAACCTACAGTATCTGCAAGCAATTTGAATAATATTGCTCGAGAACGAGATGAGCTATGTTTTATTTGACCCAACATCTGGACACCTTGATTGTCAGAAATCTGAGAGGCTTCCTCAAGTGCAGCTTTAGCATGACTTATTTCCGAGTTTGGTCGCTTGTAAACATCCGACACCTGTATAGGAAGGCATGCAAGCAACGGGAGAAATCACAAATGTCCATAGATTAAACTTCAACCTTTTTCCCTTTTATAACTGTACAGTTCAAAGTGAAAAAATACAGACATCATATGCTCCACTAATTTGGCACCAAAAATATTTCAGTTTGATTGCTTATGCTGCCCCATTTACTACGTAATTCAGTAAGTTGAGTGACCATATGAGGAATTATCTCTCAAAAAATTCGAATAATTTCCTCTTTGCTGATTTTTGAAGATCCACTGGATGGAAATTCAGCATCACAGACAAAAAAGATTTGAGGATGTTAACCATCTCATGGAGTATGTACTATGCCTGGGAGAGTCATAGAAGCTCTCCTGAGCTGGGAATAAGCAGGTACACAGACAAAGGATAGGATTAGATGGAGAATTGTCCCAGCTAGTATCTGGTGGACAATTTGGAAGGAGAGGAACCTTAGATGCTATGAAAGTAAACTGAATAGTATGGAGAAAGTCAAATTGAATTGTACCTTGACCTTATGTTTTTGGTATAACCAGTTGTATCCCAATGATACTGTCTCTATCATTGATGTTTTAGATGAATACTCTTGTAAATATGGTTTCAGTGCATAGGTTGCACTGTTTTGGTTTATAATAAATACAGAAACTGGTACCATTGTCCAAAAAAAAAATGAGGAAGTCAGCAGAAAAACATGCAAGTTACAAGAGAATTTTGCAAACAAGGCATATTTTGATAAAATATTATGGATGTCAACATAGTGTCAGGAACTTTTTCTTTTTAATAAGTAACACAAGTTTAGGAATGAGAAAGGAGGTTCGGTGACTAAGTTAAATCAGAGGGAAAGGTAACTGTAATTTTATAGGAAACATAAAAATCACATACAAAGGGTTTATGAAGCATACATAACATAGTTGAACTCAAATGAAAGAACAAAATTTGGGATGAACTGCAAAGACAAGAAAACAAGGGGCAAACTAAAAAGTACTAATCATCTCTATACAAAATCCCAAAACCAGAGATCAATTTTCACAGAGCCACCAATAATGCAATATCCCAAAATCAGAGATCAATCCATAGAGCCACCAATTAATATATAAAAAATGAAACAAACAAGAAATAATTACAAGGGAAACAAATTGCTACACAGACATCAGGAAAAGAAAAGGTCAATATGTATGTCAACTACGAGTCACTTCCAAATTAGTTGGGATAAGCTACATGACATTATTGTATCTACATTGCTCCACAGTCCTTATCATTTTCAACTGTAAAGAACTTTAGTGTAATGGCCTGTTTTGACAGTAGAACGGGAGAGGGGGAGTCATACCCATTCTTCTGAAAGACTAAGACTGGATATCTGAATTGACTGTATTTTAGGCAACCATAATCCTGTCTAATCTCACTTTGTCTGTCTGCTTATACGGGCTAAATGTCATCCTTATACCATTAATTAACTTATCAAAAACTAGGGCAAACAAGTATGGACTCAAGGAACAAGTGATATATATTGGGGGGGGGGGGGGATATATAAGTCACCCACCAATCCAGCTATCTTTTTTATCATTGCTGCAGGACTTGCGTTCAAACCTTTCACCAGTGTAATAGTCAGTTGCTTTAGCATTGTAAGCTTTTTGTCTTTCTTGGCATCCACAAGTATAACATCTGCTCCAAAACCCTCAAGCTCTAAAGCATGAAGCTCATCCAACGTAGGAATGTCTTCAAAACGTTCCTTTAGCCTTTTCTCCTGAGCCAAAATAGGAGAAACAAAAGAGTGCACATTAAAATTTTAGCACTGCAATTTCCTATCATAAATTTTTTTGAGAAAAGGTAACTTGTATTATAAACAAAGGAATACTCAGGACGTATTCCAGTAATACTTACAATCAGAAATACAAAAAGTGTTGTTGTTTTCCTATGAACTCGTTAAGAATTCTAAGATACTAGGATATCCTCATCTTCATGAGGATATTCATGTTTACACCAAAAATAGAAAAGAGCTATAAACAATTCAACTTCATCTTCTCCATAGAGCAGCTCTTGTTCTCAAAACATCTCTGATTCCTTTCCAGCCGAATAGTCCACCAAATGCAGGATGGGACACTATCATAATTTTGTAGCAGCACCCACATTAGAAGATCTAAAAAGTAGGAAGGGCACTGGAAAGATAACACCCAGAGAAGTGTGTCCTTGACAGAATGTAAAGGTTGATTTTAGGTATATTCCTTGGGAAATATAAAGGGCCAGATTATTCAAACAAGTTATAATCGAGGCAATTGATGGACCTTGAGAAGACTGTAATCATACGGAAATATATACTCTAGATTAGTAATTACAATAGTGAAGTTAACAAATATTTGCCATTCATGCAACTAGCCAGTGCAGTAACTTCCCTCAAAAGAGGAAACATAAGTTAATAACAGCTTAAGAGTAGAGTTTTTTCTAATAGAAGTAGCAGTGTAAGAGTTTTTTTGATCAAGTAAAAGGTTTGTCATAAAGGATTTAATCACATTGACATCATAGAAGCTCATGGAGAGACCATCGCAGATCCAGATAGAATCAAGGAAGAGATTGTGGATTTCTATAAGAATTTATACTCTGAGACAGTACACTGCAGACCTTTAGTCAACTTTCAAGAAGGCTCAATAATTAGGGAAGATGATAATGATTGATTGCAGAGAGAATTTGAATAACAAGAGGTGTTGGAATGCTTAAAGTTATGTGCTGCTGACAAAACTCCAGGCCCAGATGGATATTCTATGGGATTTTTCCAATGCTGCTGGGAAATTGTGAAAAAGGATGTGATGGACACTATCAGAAACTTTCACAGGAGTGATAATTTTAAAAAGAGTTTCAATGCAACTTATGTTGCCTTGATTCCTAAGAAAAATGGTGCCAAAAGTCTTAGAGATTTCAGACCTATAGTCTGACTGGGAGTGTGTATAAAATTATCTCTAAGCTCCTTACTGAAAGGCACAAGAGAGTGATTGATATACTGGTGGATAGACATCAAATGGCTTTTATTTAAGGCAGACAATCATGGATGTGGCATGATAGACAATGAGTGTGTGGATTCTAGAATCAAATAGCAGACCCCTGGTATTCTCTGCAAACTTGACATTGAGAAGGCTTTACGATCATGTTAGTTGGAATTTCCTCCTAAAAGTTCTAAAAGACATAGGCAGGATCTATTTAGCTTACTATCACACATTTACTTGTATTTGAGGATATTTATCCACCTCCTGGGTAATTTAACCTTTTCCATAAAAGAAAATGATCATTTTCATCTCACCCTTAATCTAAAAACTGACGTTCTAACTTCTAAGAGCCTTCCTGAACTCCTTACCAGCTCTAATTAACCTCCAAAGGTATTTAGAATTTGTAACATATGGATCAAACACCACGCACAAAAACTTTTATATCCATTTACAACAAGGACCATATATCCATTTCTCAGACTACAGAGAAGTTCAGTTTTCTATTTATGAGGTAGAACACATGAGAAATTTTAATCTCACTGTTCACCTCAAACCTTCTATAACATGAAAAACTGGAGAAATGGAGCACAGGAACTAACAGCTCCTATTTGAAGTTTATCAGACGTCACCGAAGAAACAGCATAGAAACAAACAGTTAGAACGCATTTTGTTGGAAATTAAAGAGGTGTCGACGCACTTGTTTTGGAATAGTCACTTCAATCATATTACCATAAATCTAGGAGTTCATTTATATAACTATGTCTGTGACCATAAAATACCCAATGAGCTCAAAGTTTGATTTTCCTTTGATTTCATTTTTTGCCAATTTAGGAAGTAAGGCAGTAAGCAGCAATCAAAACAAGGATGAAACCACCAGAATGGATACACATGGCAGCTACTTAGCACTTCTCACAATCAATGAAGACACAATTTATTTTCCAATTAAAAAGAAAATCCTACAATCTAAAATCTAAGTTGTTGTTTTTTCTAGAAACTGGGATTTGACCATAATTTAAATGATATAAAGCCCTTAGACATTACCAAAAAGAATTAAAAGAGTAGGATTATGGCATGATATTGTTCTAACTATTTTTTCAGACTGCAAGCTCTTTATACCCCCTTCAAGCTTCCTTTATCAGTGTGATCTATTCAACAATAATAAATAACCTAGATCAAGTACTTGATAAAAGAACCTCTTCAGCTACTCACAAAAATGAGGTAGATAACTTGAAGATTTCCTACGCCTCAAACGAATTTAAAAACGAAAACAGGAAAATGGTTAAGATGAATATACCTTTTATCAATGGATAAAATAATATAGATGTGGAAGAACTACTGAGAAATCTGCCAATGCAATATTTCTTTCTCTCATCCTATCCTTCATGGCATGTAAGTTACCGATTTTAAGAAAACTCATATCATAAGTGCATCTATTATTAGAAGTGCATCAGCTGTATGCGGTTAATATCCAATTCATTCAGATCTTAGATAGCAAAAATAGTTTTTAATAAAATGAATATCGCAATACAAGCAACAATACAAAGAATCATTAGTTTCAGCACTCACAGGAACAACAGAGTAGAAACCATTTGGTATTGGTTCAGAAAGTGTTCCAGTTTTCCAGAAAATCTGGGAAGCAGTCTGAGAGGACAACGCATTATATTCTCTTTCAGTTAGTTCCTGATTCCTCATGATTTCTTCTTTGCCATCAAGTGAAACGGATCCAAACTTCTCAGCAAATTCTGAAGGCCACCATGCAGTACTGGGGTATCTATGCTCTAGAAGCCCAACTTCATCTGGTATCTCTTCCATTTCCATAGATAGTTGAATTTTAATACCATCTCATACCACTCCTACCCCATAAAGGAGCTTATAAACTTCACATATGGTTTAAGACAAAATATCATGATCTAACAGCTTCCTCCACTTGATCTGTGCAAAGCTGATGTCATGGACCTGCGAAGTAAGAATTGTTTGACTCAAATTGATGTGTTTCTTCAGCGAAAGACTATCTATAATTCCTTTTAATGTATTGCATGCACTCAAAAGAACCAGGGGAGTAGCCAGGAACGCTGCAGAAGAACTCACTAAAGCCTTGGACACACCCTTCCCCTCCAAAATAAATGTAGAAAATAGGAAAATGAAAATAAGAGAGAAATAAGGGGCCATAACAAAAGTAGAGAATTAATCACTATTTCAAGTATCAGATTACTAAAACAGACGCTCTACTACTTATGAAGAGTAGTCCTTATAAGAATAAAATTGGCAGATCCACAGCAATCAAAAGCTCAAAACCTACATAATTCAACACGCTTTTTCCTAACCAGTACTATGAAAGCAATTAAAAACTCATAACCTTATACTTTTAATGTGATTTTCAGGACGACTAGAATGGAAGTGGAGTATAATGATCCCGTTGTACAAGAACAAGGTGATATCCAAACTTGCAACCACTATAGGGGTATCAAGCTACTAAAGCACACTATGAAAGTTTGGGAGAGGGTCATAGAGATGAGGATGTGGGGTATGGTCATCTCCGAGAACCAATTTGGATTCATGTTAGGGTGGTCATCTACAGAAGTCATTCATTTACCTTGTAAGGTGACCGTTGGAGCTGTACAGGATAGGAAGAAAGACTTGCATATGACAAAGTCCTAGGGAGGTTCTATGGAGATGTTTGGAGCCTAGAGGTGTACCAGTGGCTTATATTTGGGAAACTAAGGACATGAACATGTATGATGGTGCCAAGACCCATAAGAACACTGGGAGGTGACTCGGAATACTTTTAAATTGTGGTGGGGTTGCACCAAGGTTCAACTCTTAGCCCGTTTCTATTTGCCTTTGAGGACGTGAAGATGTGGGCGCTTGCACCAGTGAGGAGGTGTGAGAGGTTGGCTATAGCGAGTGCTAAGAGAGGTAGAGGTAGGTTGAAGAAGAACTGGTGGAGGTGATATAGCAAGACATGGCACACCTATGGCTTACTGAGACATAATCCTAGATAGAAAGGTTTGGATATCGAGAATTAGGGTAGAAGATTAGTGGGTAATTGACCGTTGTAGCACCTTTACGTGGCAGAGATAGGGGGCTATCTCTTCCCCTTTTCTCCTTATCAGTAGTATTCCTATTTAGTACTTGCGTAGTATCTTCAACTTCATTTTTATTGGTACCTGTTATTTCTTTGCTTGTGTCTATCTTGCCACTTCGTTGCCGTTCTCTTTTCTCTTTCTAGCATGTCTTGGTATCTTGCTTTGTTTCTTGCTATAGTGTTTCATATTATTTTTTTCTTGCAACCCTACTTAGATTTCTTTTTTCTTTTGAGCCGAGGATCTATGAGTAACAGCCTCTCTACTGCCACAAAGGTAGGGGTAGGGACTACATAAATCCTACTCTCCCTAGGCCCTACTTGTGGGATTAAGCGAAATGATCATGTTTGAATTATTTCTCTATCTACAGATCTTGGTACTTTTTTGTTCAAGTAAAAAGGTTGGGCAATGTATTAAGAGGAGAAGGACCTAATCTAGGTGAAATGTATTAAAGACAAATCTCAGCAAGTGTTGAAAGGAGATAATGAGATCAAAAAGAGATAAAGAGGCTATTTTGATTAATTGTTTAATCCGGACCACAAAAACAACATTTTGGATCTCCATACATCTCACTGACGGAAACATTAACTACACTCACAGAATTAGGCCAACAGAGTTAAAGGATGCTATGAAAAATATGAAGATTAAAATGCAATGTCCCAAATGGAATCCCCATACAGATCTGGAAGTGTCCCGTGAGAGAGTGGAGTCGGACGGCTTACTAAGTCATTTAATGTCGCTAAGAAATGGTAGGGTGCGAACAAGTGGAGAAAGAGTACCCTGATTCTATTTTATAAGAACAAAGAAGACATTCAAAGTTGCAAGAATTATCACGGCATTAAAACTTTGAGCCACACAATGAAACTTTATGTGGCGATAAAACATATATGTAGGGACACTAAAAGAGTGAAAAGAATCTGTTTGGATCTAACCTAGGTATATCTACAACGAAGTCTATATTCTTGCTAAGAAGATAATGGAAATTTATCTTGAGAAGAAGAACGATCTACACATTATGTTCATTAAATTGGAGAAAGTATATAATATAGTATCAAGAAAGGTTCTTTTGTGGGTGTTGGAGAATAAAGTAATTCATATTAGATATATATAAAAGACGAGTCAAAAAAATAACGAATTACAATGTGGATTTATATTATCATTTCTATTTGACAATCTAAACTGTTGCATCTGCATTCAAGTGCTTCAAGAACATGATTACCAAAAAACAAGAAAGATCAACTTCCAACTTCCAAAAGACATCTGAAATTGCAACACTTAACTGTGAAATGCACCAATATTAACTCTCACTATCTGCTGCTCCTAACAATTCGTACAATTGCCTACACCAACTTGATCAAACAATTGGCAAACCAACCAGTTTACACGTTGAGCAACACAAAACACCCTCATGCTTAGTTTTATAAAATTCACAATCAATAAGAATATATCCTTCCTAACTAAGAATTGCCTAAAAATCGCCACACCAAAACAAACGACTCAAACAATCAACTATACCCTCAGGCTAGCGGTTTCTAGCTAGGCACATCGAAATTACTACAGTGCTCAAATGTTTTATCCCATTGGATTACTTTTACACTGCTTTTTTGCAATTTTCAGGACCCTAGCAAGAACATCAATTTCCTAATTCAAAATTTCCCTCCATCACCAAACTTAAGATCATCTAGGTTCTAACTTCAAGTGCTGCACACAAGCTAACAGCTTGATCACCAATTCATTTTCCACAAACTGGCATACAGTAAATTTCAGCACAAATACAGCTGTAATCCAGACACTAATATATATAGACTAAGGGGTCACTTGGTAACTGGTTTGGAGGTGAGTTATGCAGGTATTAAATCCTTCATAAGTAATACTACTTTTGGTAGCTGGTTAATAGGTAAGTTATTCATATATAAAATTGATACAGTGGTTGGTTTGCAATTTAGAAATCCGCATAACTAATACATGTATGAGTTATGAGGGAATCTATATATTATTTTATGCACGATAGAATGAAATAAGTAATACATAAATAGTTAAACCCTACATAACTAATATCTACATAAAATAATGCATAGATTCTCTCATAACTAATCCTTGCATTGCTAATACATACATAACTCTAACCAACAACCAAACGACCCCCGTTTGGTAGCTAGTAAAGAAGCAACTTATTCATGTACTATTTTTTGCATAAGTTACACAATGTTTAGTAGCTAATTAAGAAATAAATTATACATGTATAAAATTAATATGACTTTTGATTTGTAATTTAAAAAATTTCATAACTAATAGATGTATAAGTTATGAGGGAATTGGTGTATTAATCTTATGCAAGGTAGAAGATGGAACAATTAATACCAGCATAGCTAATATGACTTAACTAACACATGCATATTTCTAACCAGCTACCGAACAACCCCCAATATTACTCCCTCCATTCCAATTTATGTGGCATTTTTCACTTCCAAAAATTCAATTTGACTAATATTTGACGCTAAATTAGATTTATTTATTTTTATGACAAGGGAAACCCGCAGCAGCTACCTTTGGGTGCGCATAGGGTAAAATCCCACTCCTATACAATAGCTCACAAACCACGTAGGAGAGGTAACATGCACTAAGAAAGCCCGGTGCAACAAGCTCGACCCAGAAGGTGTTACCCTTGCTTTCACTGTCAAGGGGTTTCGAACTTGAGACCTCCAACATGGAAGTCCCAAGCCCAGTTGCAATTTTTCTAATGTCAAATAAGATAAATTATATAGTTCGAATCTCATAAAAACACAAAATGTCACATAAATTAGTACGACGCAGGGGAGTAGCATTTTAGCACGCATTGCATTGGGGAAATATTACTCCCTCTGAAGCTAATACTGTATCAGTTGGGACGGAGTAACATTTAGCAACAGAATTATATAAAATTGAACAAAAACTGAGCTACAATATACAGAAATGCTCGCATATAATGTAACTATTTACGAAGAAATCGAAGCAAGTAAAAGTAATTAACAGAAGTGTGCTCGGAGACTTTACCGGAACTCAGCAGATCTTAAGGAAGTGAAAATCTGCAGGTAATAGAGTAGCAATGGGCAAATAGCATTTGAATCGCTATATATCGTGAAGAGTGAAGAGAGAGAAATAGAGTGATGCAAACCAGGCAAACTGAAACGGCAGAGGAAGAGAGAGAGAGAGTAATACAGTACTCCGAATAGTATTTTTGTATTCCGACTATCCGCTTACGTATGTTTTTTTTTTTTTTTTAGTACTCCTACTATATTTGAAATATTTGATTTATGAATTTTTGCTTGTACTATCACTAATTATTTAATTCGAAATTTTCAAAATTGATTAAATTAATAAGTGTTTGAGAATAATAGTCAAAAAAATGCATGACAATTTTGTTTACTATGAAAATAGTATCGTTGAATTTATATTAAATTCAGGAAAATGTGTCTTAATTTAATTCGTTATTTTTAATTTTTATTGGGGGTTGCTCCTTATCATAATATATAAAGTAGTGAGTTGATTAAATATAAAAAGCTTGGATAACAAGAATAAGAGTGTGTTGCTTTTGTATTGCCTAGTATCAATGTCTAACAATGGTGTTAAAACTATTATTAATAGGTTACACAAATAAATGTCTAACAACCAATAGAAAAACTCGTTCACATGAAATTATTGTTAGTAGTGTCAGCCAATATTCCTTTGTAATGATAGGGGATTGCAAATGTGTGTGGCCTACAACAACAAGAACATCAATGACAAATAATCACCCGACTAAGTATCTTTATGAATAATATTTTATGTGCACGGTACACCCATAATGTATTTGTAGGGGGAAAAGATATGATGAAGAAGTCCCTGCATGTCAAGCCGAGGGTCTATCG